TCCGCATCAGTGGGCATTTCCAGTATTTTTCTGTGTTAATTTGGTAGATAAAAAGTGGAATCACCTTAGTTAGGGAAGTTGAGCATATATATTAGGTGTTTGTATTTTTTATGAATTTCTCGTTTGTTGTAGTTGGGCTGTTTGCTGAGTTTTAGGAACTGTGTGTATTCTGGATATGAATCCTTTGGCCATGGTGTGATGCAAGTACTTCCTACTTTAGTCCTGTGGCTTCCCTGAAGCTCGGTCTCTGCTGGGGATGCCGGGACTTCCTTTTCTTTCCCACAAGTGGTTTCTTCTATACAAGCTAGCAGATCATGCCGTTTCTCTTTTTCTGTGGAACAAGACGGTACGTGTGCACCAGCGACGCGGACATAATTACGGGCTCTTCAGTCGTGCAGATGGTGGCCCCTCTTGGCGCCCACCGGCATTCACGCCAGTCGCCAGAGTGTGTGATGTGACTGGCAGGGCGATCCTCTTGGGAGCTGATGATTTTTGCATAATCAAGCCAAACTGGAGGCCCCAAACAAATGTTTTCATTTAAGGAGCACAAATTCATATGTGACTGTCTTTGGGGATTTTATTTTTATATACCTAATTTAAATCTGGATTATTTCAGAGTGTAGAGCTGTCTGTCAGGTCTCAACACAGTGGGTCTGCTTTGAACTGTCAGGCCCCGTGACTTAGAGAAGCTGTGTGGGCACTGCCTTTGGGCCCTGCAGTGGCCCACCAGAGGCGGAGGACCAAGGAAGTCCCTGGTTAGTAGGACAGGACTGCCTCCTGGAAGTGGGCTCCCAGCCACCCTCATGGGAGTTGCATGTGGCCAAGTTGTATATAAAATCATACAAGTCATAAGACCAGAGAACTCGAGAGTAGCCGTGTTAAGCCGTGGTTTCGTTGTTTACAACGCTGCCGATCTGGCCGCCCAGTCTTGAGGAGCCAGATAGTAATAAACAGTAATAAAACCAGGCCACCTCATCCACATTCTCTGGAATGGCCAGAGGAGCTCCTGCCTGTGTTGGTCAGGACAGGCTCGACCAGATAGGTGCTTGGGGGTGGCAGCCCAGGTTTGAGCACTGGGACCATCTCAGGTTGGGCAGCAGAAGGTTGCATCTTTTGTCGCAGTGCCCTGAAGGTCACGGGCGGCTTGCTGAGAGAGCGGGAACATTTAAAAAATTCAGAGTCCTTATCGTACCCTTCAGGGCCCTCCGTGGCCTTGGCCCTGCCTACCTTCTGTCTGAACCTCATCTCCCACCTTTTCCTTCGCCCAGTGCCCTTGTCCCTGTTGGCTCTATCCACAGTGTGCTTCTCTAGGGCCTCTGCCAGCCTGGCTCCTTTTCATTCGGTGGTCTCCACCCACATGTCCCCTCTTCCTTCAAGGCTAGTGCTCCTGCGTTCCGTGACCGTACTGTGTTTTCCCCTCTGTTGCATTTATCCTCTCTTGTCTCCTCCCCCAAGAAAGCGAGCACTAGGACACCAGGGGGCTTATCTCTCTGTTCCTCCTGAACCCCAGAGCCCAGCCCAGCTCTGGGCACATAGGAGACATTTGATAAGTAGATTGACTAAAATACTGAGAAGGGAGCTGGCTCTGCCCAGCCCCACTGGAAATGCAAGCCTTTGCCTCAAATTATTCCTGCCTGGAAAAGGCAGTGTGTGCAGCAAGGAAGTAATTAGAATATTGTCTTAGTTGGTAGTTACTGTAATTGCTGGCACACAGGGCATGCCCGTGTTCTAGGGAGGTAGGTTGAATCCTTGGTCATGTAATGGGAATGGATTAGAAAGCATGTTTTTGAAGCCTGATTGAAGTTTTACATCTAGGACTATATTCAGAAACTGCTTTTGAGAGGCTCCACTTTCCTTGCAAGGCAGAGAGAGCAGTCAGGGAAACGTGTTTCCTCATGGCGCCCAGGCGTGTGTGGTCTTTGTGACTGGGGAGGCAAGTGTGGCAAATGGGCTGTGCTCCTGGTCAGCACCCGCTTCTTGCAATCCAGTGGCTGTGATGGGTGGTTACCTTCAGGAGCCGCAGAGTCCTGGAAGAGAAGGCCAGTTGCGGCGGGGCTGTGAGGAGAGTTATTGGGACCCACCGTCCTCACTTTATTGTCCCCTTGGGAGACTGTCACCTCTTTGTGACTCCCAGGTACTGTCCAAGGTCTGGAGGTGGTCCATGGCTTTGCCTGAGGCCCTGTGTTGCCTTGGAAGAATCCCCTAGGGGGCCTGGGGTCGACCCCCACCCCCGCAAGGTGCCCACGTACTCTCGTTTGCCAGGAGCGCTTCTTGTATCTTAGAGGTTTTGCTTTCTTAGGGAGTGTGCCATCTTACCACCCGTGAGACCCTGGTTTGGGGGATGCCCTTCTCCCTCCCCTGCCAGGGCCTCATCAGGACTGCCTCCCTGCTTGCTGCTTGCTGGGTCCCACGCATCAGCCGCCTGTTCTCTCTCTTGGACTGCCTCCCTTTATAGCTAGGCCCAACAGCTGCACTCTGCCTCTCACTGTTGGCTTCTCAGCTGTCACTTTGCTCCTCTCAGTGAGCTTAGAGCTGCATGTTAGCATTTATTCTGTGGACCAGAACATCAGCACATGACTTGGATTTGAATTCTGCAATGGAAGAGGGAAGGAGCTGTGTCTGGAGCGTTGGAAGAGCTCTCCTGAATGGTGCCGGACGGTGTACAGGACTTGGGTCATCTGATGGGTCGCTCGGTGTCATTTGGCAGACTTGTGGTCTTAGATGCTCTGCTTTAAGGGGGCAGAGCATGGGGAAGAGTTTGGCTGACTGCTTGAGGGGAGGGGTCCAGTGCGTTTGGGAAGGATGACCTGGTGATAAAATGCAGGAGGACAAAAATCATAATACCGATGGTCACATCACTCAGGTGGCAGGAAACAATAATAGGTAACTGTAGGCAGTCGTGGTTGGGGAATGGTTGAGTAAATCATGGCCCGTTATGGCGCTATTCAGAAGTAAATTTCTGTGCATATTATTGTATACTGACTTGGCGTAGCTCTAGTTTATTCGTGTAGTGTGAATACCATTTTTTGTTCAGGAGAAGATGCGTGTACATTGTTGCATATGCGTATATAGAAACAGTGAGGACGCCTGGAAGGGTACGCATGAGACAGTGGGTTCCTTCATGTTAGCATTGGGAACGGAGGAATCATCACCCCTTATTCATCTCTGTACTGCTCGCCTTGCTCCTGTGAGGTTTCATTCTTTCAAATCCATAGTAGAAATAAATATAGAACCAGGACTTGCACAAAAATGTTTATAGCCCCTTTACTTTGTAATAGCCTTAAATTGGAAACAACTCAAATGTTTGCAGGTCAGATGGTGTGTCCTGTCCCTGCCGTGGAATCCTACTCTGCAATACAAAGAAATCAGTTGTTGACCTGAGTCTCAGGGGAGTTATGCTCAGTGACAGAAGGCATTCCAAATGGTTATATACCTTGTTCATTTATATAACATTCTTGAAATGAAAAATTATGGGAATGGAGAAGGTGTGTTGTTTCCAGGAGTTAGGGGAGGGGCGTGTGCACAAGGGGTGTGGGGATGGCTATGAAAGGGCAGCCCAAGGGTCCCTGTGTTGGAACTGTTCGGTGTCTTTCCTGGGTGGACACACCCACCCACGTGTGTCTTAAGAGTGCAAGTGAACAGGAATAGGATTAGTGTGTTGTGTCACCGTTGGTGTCCTGGTTATACATTGTACTGTGATTTTGCAAAGTAGTGCCGGGGGATCTGGGTGAAGGGAAGTGGAGCTCTATTACTTCTATAATAATTGTGAAGCTACACTTATCTTAACAGTATGTTTAATAAAAAATGAAATCAGGGTGATCTAATAGAAATTTTCAGGGGTATAGGTTTTGTTGGGAGTAGGCACTTAATAAAGCGTATAAAGAAATTCAGCCTTCAAAGCGGCATCGTGCTGCGGCACCTGCGTGGCTCAGTCAGTTTGGCGTCCAGCTCTTGGTTTCGGCTCAGGTCATGACCAGGGTGGTGGGGTGGAGCCTGCACTGGGCTCTGCGCTCAGCGGGGAGTCTGCTTGATGTTCGCGCTCTATCTGGTCCTCTCCCATGCCCGCTTGCATGCAAGTTCTCTCTCTTAAATAAATAAATCTGTGTCATCATCAACAACAGAAAACGACACTGTGCCTCTTTACTCGGGACTCTTCCTTCTTTCTTTCTGACTGGTGCCTCTGGGTTCACTTGGGGCCTCCATCTAACTTACACTTTTATCACTTGGGGCCTCCATCTAACTTATACTTTTATCTGTCCTCCTTGTGGAGGACAGACCATGTGGGCAGAGCTGGGCTTTTAGAGAATGGTCCCCCCTGGGGGCAGTGCCCTTCACATCCAGCTGTAGCCTTAAGCCGCTGGATCCAATGATAAAGGGAGCTTGTGGTCATCACCTGAATGTCTGCACTGGGCCCAGCACTCAGTAGGGGCTCAGTAAATGGAGTTACAGACTCATGAAACACTTGAAGCAAACTTTACATCCTGTTTGCTCTTCAGGTCCGGCTTCAGCACAGACCCAAGCTCGCTCTTAGGCTGCCCTTTTCTGCCTTGAATGGTGTTGAGAATGGCGGGCGTGCTCTGGTGCCTGCTTCATGCTGAAGCTTTCCATATGGAAGTTTAACATCAGTTACATTCCTTGCTTCTTAGGCTTAAGGGTGTTCCGTTTTCTCTTTTTTCAACTAAACTTTTGATTTGAGATGATTTTTAGATTTACAGGAGAGATGTAGTTTGTGTGCTGTGTGCCTGTGATCCCCTTCACTAGTTTCCTCCTCTGTTAGCAGCTTAGATCAGCAGCTGAGGAACTGGTAACCCAACTCCTGACTTCTTTTTTTCCCCTTCCTGGACCACTTTGCCTTTTGGAAGTGATTATCTAAATTGATGAAGTTGCTTAAATATGTTCCTTGTCCCAAACCCAAGAATTCTGTATGTGTGTGTTGGGGGGGCTTTAAAAAAAAAAAAGAATGCTGAGGTAGAGCTCCTGGAGATTCTATGCGGTCACTCTGATGTGGACGAGAGAACCCCCGCCCCAGCCCCCGCAGATAGCACTGCAGAGCCATGCAGACATGGCGGGTAACCACAAGCCTGGACGAGAAGGTGACTTGGGGCAGGGGGGGGTTCAGGTGGGGGGTCCATAGGCACTAATGGATTTCCACAACCAGTACTGACATTTCTGAACTATCCTACTGAAATATATTTGGGGTTCTTAATTAAGAAATCAGTATGTAGGAAGATACTGGTGTTCTCATTTACCATGTGAACTTCTACTTGATAAAGTAACATTCCTTAAGACGGGTGCCAGGAGAGGAGGACCGAGCAGCGGCCAGAGGGCTTTTGACTTGGAATTCCAGGTGAACTGGTGGAGTTGGGAGTTTAGGCCGAGTACGTTGCGTTGGCGCTCTGTGTGCTCTGGCCTTATACTGAGCTGTGGTTTTGCTCACTGCGTTGGATCCCTAGTTGGAAGGTTTGAGGAGGAATCGGGGGCCTGAGCGGAGACTGGATCTGAGGTGTGTGCTGGGGTCTCTGTGGCTTAGGCAGCACCTGGCGGCAGTAGTTAGAAGCCTGTGCGATAGTTTGTCCCCTCAGTTCCAGCCTTGTTGGGGAGAGGTGTGTGAGTAATCTTTGTGAAGTGGCAGAAGATGTCAGAGCCAGCAAATTGAAAAATCTGCTTTGCTATTTCATCCAGGAATGGGATTCAGCACTGTTAGCGCCATATCATTTCCATAGCAATCCGCCAGTGTTCTTTGTTGAGTAGTCCTGTGTTATGACATCACAGGTGGAAGTCCGTGGGAAGGGAAGCTGAATGTAAGAATGGCCTCCTCAGGAGAAAGAGGAGGAAAATCTGTGGGCTCCGTAACCAGCCACGTTAGCCTCTTCTGTGTGTTTCTAGTCTTGAGAAAAGGCATTTTGTGTCCTTTTGTATATATATAAAATTGGACCTCTGATGCATATCACAAGGTTTGGCATCAGGAGCTTTACTAGTCACAAGGAACGGAAATTATCTTTGATTGTATTTGAGTGTCATAAATACATTTTGGAATAACTCCCCTCCCTTCCCCCAATATATGGCATATTTCGGACATTTTGTTTTTTTTTATTTGAGGCATGCCATATTGTCCTTGGTGCTCGCCAGGCATGTCCCCAATCTTACTGGAGACCATTGTGTGTCCGAAAATGAGCGCTCTGGTTCACAAATGGCCAAATGAGAGTTCACACATCTGGGGAAGGTCCAATCAGATGGGGCATAAAATTCAGGAACAGGATCACTTTATATATAGTGATAAATTCATATACACACACCAATCTTGCACTTCTTTGATGATAATGAAGGCAGTCTTAATCGTTGAAGATATTTCTGGAAGTCGAATGCAGAGGTTTTGTGGGCTTCAGGTACTTTCATCATTGAATTCAGGTCCAGGGATTTACTGTGTCTTAATTAAATTTTTAATCCTCTTGCTGAACTAACTCATTTATGAGGAGCTTTTTTTAACTGGATATTCAGTCCCTTAGGAGCTAGACTTGAGTTGCCAGCCTCTTCTTCCAAGGCCCCATGGCAGTTGGTTGGGAGCTTCCTGAGGCCTGTCTCTGGCCGGATCGCTCATGTACGTGGTGGACCTGAGAGGGACGTTTTGTCATTCCATAGCCACTGGCCTGACCAGCATCTCCATGCTTGAGGACGGAAAAGAGCAAATCGATCAACACAGCACAAATGTGTAAAAAGTTTGGGGTATTGCTGAGGAGAACCCAGTTCATACGTAGAACTCTATTTATTTTGCCTTTAGGGACCAACTGCAGAGAAATCCTGTCTTAATTAACACTAGAATAGGATCCTCATTTATAAAATACTAGATTTTTGTGAGTCATTGCATTTAGTTAATCCTACTTCTGAAAAACTGTGGCCCATTTCCCCCCCTACCCTACACCGTAGTGCTGTGGATGTTGATCCGTAGACCTTTTGAATTGATCTTAATTTTTTTTAAAGATTGTAGAGACTCAGAATCTTTTTAAAAAATAAAAAGAGAGAGAGAGAGAGCATGAGCCCGTGGAGGGCCACAGGGGGAGGGAGAAGCAGACTCCCTGCTGAGTGTGGAACCCAGGCTTGATCCCATGACCCTGAGACAGGACCTGAGCCAAAATCAACAGTTGGGCACTTAATTGACTGAGCCACTCAGGCGCCCCACCTTGATCTTGACTTTTATTATTACTATAACTTCCGGTGAAAAAGTATTCCAAGACCCTTAAAGATAGTCTTGTTTCAGCTATAAACTGAATTCACTTGTATCTCAGAATCTTCAGGATTACGAATCAGTTGGGGAATTCTATGACCCGCTGTAGTTCACACTGCTTATGTCTACAAAGCATCCTAGTTTTAGGTGTGATGCTGTTTTGTATACAGAGTTTATTTTTGAATCATGCATGAAAAACCATATTTTAAGGCAATTGTAGTGGGACAGATTTGAACTGAGGAACTAAGTTAAAATACCAAGCTTACATCAAGCAAATTATTTTAAGATTTATGGTGCATTCGTGTGGTGTGAGAGTGTGTATAGTGCTGACTCAAGCTACTGCTGCTTCTGGAGAGCCTTTGAATAGTTGATGTGTCCTTCCGGTGTTTGTTTATCATGTAAAGGGAAATGAGAATTTATTTGTTCTTATTCCAGCACACTCTGTCTCTTTTATAACAGAGGTTACATGTGATGATATTTATTGCTTGGTATCTTTTTTTTTTTTTTTTAACTTAGAGCTTAGAGAACTTTCCAGATAGGTACATTGAAACACTGATTTATAAAACACTGCTGCATAATATTCTATTAGTGGAATGTGCCATAATTTATTTCATAGTCCTTCATAGGGGTTTTTCCTCATAAAATATTTTTAATGATGGTTTGGTGTTTATTTAGGAGGCTATATGTGGATGAAGTACACTTCAAAATGTCTTTTTAAAAATGTTGCTTTTTAAGCACATGTTTTAGAGTTTGAGCTAATTAAACATCAGCAAAAAGAATTTCTTCTTCCCACTCCACTTTGTGTGTGTGTGTGATGGTTGAGGGACCAGTTCAAAAATGTATATATATATATATATTTTAAATAACTTTAACACAGTTGTTAAATACATGTATTGATAGTTAATAAGACGAGTATCAGAATTGGAAGTGATATAAATTTGGCAATATCTATTTATTGGCCTCCAGAGATTTCTAAGGTGTATTTTGAGATGCTTAAGGGAAAAAACATGTTTTATATTCAGGCATTACTTAAGATGTAATCTGATAATTGGGGGTTGGTCTAGAGGGGAACCATGGAGGGTGCTGTCCGTGGTGCTGAATCAGACCGCCTGACGATCTGAATGGGGCGGAAAGGCTCTGAAATGTCACAGGCCTAGAACACACTTAGGTAGCTGTTTTTAAAACCACATCTGTTCAGAGCTAAGACTGTTGTTCGGTCAGCATGTGTACAGGCAGCATAAAGGGGCCACATTAGTTGCAGTGAGCTGTTCTTACATCTGGAAGCAGGGGAGGGTTTATATATGAAGTATGGACCCTTTTTGCTAGTGAAGGCTATTTAAATCCCAAGTCCTGAGGTAACCTTTTTTTCCTTATAAGTCAAGGACTTGCATCAGTGCGAGATAGTTTTTTTTTTTTTTAAGATTTTATTTATTTTATTGACAGAGATCACGATTAGGCAGAGAGGCAGGCAGAGAGAGAGGAAAGGAAGGAGGCCCCCCGCTGAGCAGAGAGCCCGACGCAGGACTCGATCCCAGGATCCTGGGATCAGGACCCTGGGATCACGACCCAAGCCGAAGTTCGAGGCTTCAACCCACTGAGCCACCCAGGCAGTTTACCTTGTATTTGCCATTTATTGTTTCACGTTTTGAATCCATGCCTTTGATCATACGTAAATGTTTGTCAAGCTGCATTTCAGCAAGCATTTAGAAATCTATAGCACAGGGGCGCCTGGGTGGCTCCAGTTGGTTAAGCATCTGCATTTGGCTCAGGTCATGATCCCAGGGTCCTGGGACCGAGCCCAGGGAGTCTGTTTTTCCTCTTCTCCCCTTCCCATCCCACTCGTGTACTCTCTCTCTCAAATAAATAAATAAATAACATCTTTTTTTTTTTTTAAACAAAAAAGAAGTCTTAGCACATCTTTTTATGTGCTTCTCAATCCTTTTCAACTCTTTATAAATGCCAATCCTCCTAGGGACCCCGTTTCACACTCCCTCTGCCCCTCCCCTCAACCTCCAGTTTGTTTTTGCATGGATTTATACTTCAGTTATCACAATAATTGTCCAGTGACACTCTGAGTCTCACAATGTGATGTTTTAAAGTGCTGACTTGTGATTGAAAGTTCTAATACCCACTGCTATGTATATATTTAGTTAACAATATTTCCTCTTGGGTTGAGTTTTATTTTCGTTTTTTTAAAGATTTATTTGAGAGCAAGCGCGGGGTGAGGAGCAGAGGGAGAGGGAGAAGCCGGCTTCCCATTGAGCAGGGAGCCCGCTGTGGGGTTTGGGGCTTGAATCCGGGGACTCTGGTTTCATGACCTGAGCCGAAGGCAGACGCTTAACCGACTGAGCCATGCTGGCACTTCGTGGGGTTGAGTTTTAATGAGTAGGAAGGCCGTCTCAGAATATTACTGCAGATAGAGCAAATGTGGCATAGTGATTGTTTGCATCCCATTTAGCATTTTGAAAGCAAAGTTCGTATTTAGTGAACATATTAGTAAACACCTTTTGAGTTACAGTGTGTTCATTATGGCACATTTGGATGATATTAGTGACTGGAAATCATCAAAAGTACAAATGTGCTTTTCTTTATTTAATCCAAGACCTGAAGGTAAAAACCATGGAATTTCTCTGTTTTCTTTAAAGCTGGAGATACAGATGACCCACCAAGAATTACTCAAAACCCTGTTATCAACGGGAATGTAGCCATGAGTGATGGGCACAACAACACAGAGGAAGATATGGAGGACGGTGAGTACACGCGGTTTACTTGCACTGGGCGGAAAACTATCAGAAACACAACTAGACGTGCTGTAATTTTCTTCCCTGAGTACTTCTGAGTTCCTTAGGAGTAGCTAGTTTTCAGGAGGTTTGTATCTGAGGCAAATTTAGGAGACTGTTTTGGTTTTGAATTTCAAGATTAGCTGCAAATTTCAGGGTAAAGTGGTTCTCCCCAGCCTAGGTGAGAAGGTTTAAGTACAGAAGTTTGTAATTGACGGGGGTTTACTCAGGTTTGCAATTTCCCAGCCACTGTTAGTGTTCAGAACAAGTGTATCTTACTCTCCTTTTTGTTTGCAGCAAGATACTCCTAGACATTGGAACTTGGCTTTCCATTGCACTCTTTTTGTAGCGTGTATCAGTTGTCTGTAGCTGATAACCCCTCCCCGCTCCCGTTAGGTGTGAAGTCTGAATCGAGCTTTGGGCTTCATTCTCCCACACTGACTTTTGGTCTGTATCTTCTATGCAAAAAGTGTATGCATAGGTATATGCATGGACATTTTGTGCCCAGGAGATCACTTTCTTTCAAGGCTGTTTCTTCTTTATAATTTACCAGATAGGTGACCTGTACACTTAATTGCAAGGTCAAAGTCATGAAACGGTAGCAGCCAGTAATCGCTTTATGCAGCCCCTGGAATCTTGCAGTGTGATATGAAACCATGTTCTGTCAAAAGCATGTCCATCCATCCTCATGAGGGTTGTGTCCTTCCCAGGGGAGTAACGGGGCAGTTGAAAGGAACCGTCAGTCACGGGCTGCACCACCAGAAGGACTGCTGTTCAGACCTCCTGCCAAAAGTTCAGCCTCCGTGAGAAACTGCAGCCGTAGTTGAGCGTTCTCTCACAGTGCCGTTTACCCCCTGGCAGCTGGCTGAGGCAATATCTGAGGAAGGTAAAGAGGCGTGGTCTACACCCCGCTGCTTTGTTACCTGTGGAGTGCGCTTTCCACTGTAGATCAAGGGCAATGGTGTGGGTGTGGTCTCCGGTCGCTGGGCTCTTGGTTTTAGTGCGGACACCAGAGGTGCCGAAAGTGATTCAGAGAGTGCGGTTGGGAAGGTGTGGCCAGGCCCAGTGTGCAGGTGTGAGGCGGAGACGGTTCCAGTCCCTTGAGGAGCAGTAACTGGCCCACCCCAGGCAGAGAGCTCCCCGTCTAGTTCCACAGAGCAATTCCAAAGGAGTATTTCCTCGCGTGTGTTTTGGGTGGGGGGGCCTGGGAGGAGGTGCAGATGTAGATAAAGGGCAGAGTTTGTCGACTTTGGCACTGTTGCCTTTTTGGGTGCATCATTCTTTGTTGTAGGTGCTGTCCTCGTTGTGATCAGATGCCAATGTCATCCCACCCTTACGCCCTCTCCTTGCAGTCCTGACAACCAGAAATAGGACACTGCCAGATGTCTCTGGGGGTTCAGAGTGCCTCATTTGAGAACCACTGTTAGGAGATCCGTAATGTACATGAAAACCCCTTTCCTTTTCAGGCAAATTTTACTACACTAGTAGTAGTAAATAATGTGCCAAACCATAGAACCTAATAGTGGAAATATTCCTGTAGTGAGTTACCAAACGGAGAAAGGGTATTAAAGGACAAAGCAGAGCGGTCTTCGGTAGCACCATGTTCCTGGTTTGGGATTTTAGGTGTCTTTTGAAAGGCCCAGTATAAGAGAGTGAAAAGATTTTTATCTCTTTCATGGTAAGGGGCTGGGAGGGAGATTGTTCTGGTTCTAGGAGTAGAAGCCTTAGTTGAAGGCAGCATTTTCCCAGTTGTGATAAGTATTTTGAAACTCTTTTCTGTGGGATGTTAGCATGTGGTGAGATGTCTAGGAAGTTTGAGGGGTGCTGGGCCAACCAGAAGTCCCTGTCGCGGGCTTCTCTGGGCTGTCTGCACCTTAATGTCTTTCTCCAAAAGACTTGTTTTGTTAACGATTCCCCAAGACTCTGAACTTTAGAAACCCTTTTCTTGAATCTCCTTCTGACATGGGAAAGTAGGACACACGATCCAGGAAATGCTGGATTAGGCTTATCTACTGGGCAGAAGGGCCTTCTTTGGGAGGGGAGTTTCTCTGCAAAAGCTAAATGGCCGACCGCACAGACAGGTGTTGGGTGGAGATAGCTAGCACATCTAAAAGTCCTGGTAACCTGGGATTACGGGCAAGAGTCAGAATCATTTTCTGGTTGCACCTGCCTATGCTACTTTGGTTTTAGTTTCTTACTCTGTTTTTCCGTAGTTGAAGAGGAGAAGTTTTAGAGTCATTGCAGCCCCAGTAGAAGTTGGTACCCATGAAACAAAAGTAATGTCTGGGGATTAACTAGGACTTGAAAAGAATGAAAAACAGAGGTCTGATAAAATGTGAGAGCGCTGTCTGGGGACCCTTCAGGCTCAGCTTCTGGCTTAAGATAAAACAACAGACCGTATCGCCCTCTACCTTTTTTTCAAAGCAACTGGACCCCGGGCTGGTTCATTGGCCTTTGCCCGGCGAAGATGAGGCGGGAGCGCGAACGGGCGTAGGGTGCTGCTGTGTGAGGGCAGGGTGGAGGTGGTGGGTGACCGAGTGTTGAGGCTGAGGATGTGTGGTGACAGCAGGGAGCAGACATGCATCGTCCTATCCTGGACAGTGCAAAGAGCTACACAGTAACGCACCAAGTGCGGCGTCCGGGCAGGTTGTAGAGTCTGTTCAGATGAAGCTGATTCTGCAGGGTGTGGGGCATTCCTCAGAATCCCACGTGAACTGCTTTCCTTTTTTTTTTTTTTTTTAATTTTGAAGTAATTATAGACACAGGAAAATCGCAAAAATAGAATCCTGGAGTAACTTTCACCTGTTTTCTTGGGCAAAGACATTTATGTCTCCTGTAATTGCTTACGGAAGTATGATCAGGCCAGGCCTTTCTGCCAAAGATGGGTTTCTAGCCTGCTCTGCTCTTTCGTAGACCCTCTTGCCTTGACCTTTCGGTATATAATGTTATTTTTCATTTATGTAATTAGTTACAAAGAGTTGAGAGCCATAAGGCGACATTTTATTCACATGAAAGCTCATGTTAAATGTCCCAGTTAGCATATTTCCCGAAGTAAGTCTGTCCTGAGGATGTGCCTGGAATGGGAGGTGGAATGTCAGTCCGTGCGTGTGAGCGGAGCGTGTGAGGCAGAGGCTGCGGGACGTCTCCGCCTCTGAAGGGAGGGTCTGCTCTAGGCAGCTCGGTGCCCTCTGCGTTTTGTTGGGTCCTATGTAATATTTAGGATGAATTCTGGAATTCGTTTATAAAGTGTGGGGGAGAACAAAAAAGTATTCAGGATACGTTTCATTTTACGTCTGTGTAAAAACCGAATGCGACAAAGAATGGAATCATATCGGAAAGCCAGTAGTTGAGTTAGAAGCGAGGCAGAGCTTCAGGACAGTGAGCTCTTCAGGGTCTCATGAGTGTGTGCCCTGAGGAGATTTCTCATTTGGTTGATGGCATTTCTTTGGTCCCCATAAAGCAGGCCAGTTTGATTGGGCTCTGCATTTGGGAGTTGCTAAACTCTAGAATACGGCATTTTGTAAACCAGAGGCAAGATCACCATTTAGGGGCCACAGATCTTGAGTATTTTGTGAGTCACCTCGGATGAGATACACCACAGCCTCGGCGAGCAAAGTGGGAGTAACCTCTGTCTTGGGCCCCCTTGCAGGATTGAGATGCAGCTCACGTGTGAGTCTGAAATAGTGGCCCACTTTGTTCCTAAGCAGTTCTGACACATGACCTTGAACCCATCTCTTGGCCTTTTCAGGGACTTTTGCCCCTCCGAGGGGTTTAAGTCCTTGCTGCCTCTTGAAGAAGCTTGGGTACATACTGCAGCTCTGAGATGGGACGCCCCCTCTGGAGCAGCCCTTCCTTCCGAAGGGCCTGTGCCATATGTGGAGCCGGGTTACACGGAGCCGAGACATTGGGGAAGAGTGTCGACACGAGGGGTCAGGGCCAGCTGTCACGCTTACTTTTGGTTCTCATTTCTTTGGTAAAGAATGCTGCCCTCTCATGAGGATTGATGGACATGTTTTCTTCATAGCAATTCAGGTAGTCGCAAACATGCACGCTTCGGAGACCGAGGAGTCTGTATCCCGGGCACTTGGTTGTCTTAGCGAAGTTTGGAGACTGAAGGATGGAGGCAGCGTGTCCTTACCATGCTCTTCCCCAAGCCCGAGAGCCTCCCTTGGCGCTTCAGGGGCTTGGGGTTCAGGGATGCCAGAACAGCCCCTGGTGCCAAACCAGGCAAACCTTCCGTGTTCCTTAGAGGGGCACACCTCTGATGGTTCTCGTCCCACCCGGTGAACTGCAGCCTGTCTGCGGCCATGAGGTACCGAAGTGGAGAGGAAGCACATAGAGATTAGTATAGCACCTTGACCTTTGGTAGCCGCTTCCTGGCGTTCTGTAAAAGTGCCAGCCAGTAAGATGGCACAGCCTGGGGAGGGCTGCCCTTCACGGGAGCTGAGAAGCGCCCACACAGATGCTGCTGGGCTTGTCAGGGCTCATCAGCAGCCAATGTCACCTGTAAATGAAGAGTCACCATCTCAGTCAAAGGTGCAGTTCTAAAGTGTGACTTTGTTCCCCTCCCCAAGATCTTACTTACTTGAGAGAGAAACAGGCTCCCCGCGGAGCAGGAAGGCCGCTGCGGGACTCGACCCCAGGACCCTGGGATCATGACCAGAGCAGAAGGCAGATGCTTAATCCACTGAGCCACCCAGGCGCCCCCTAAAGTGGGACTTGTAATTGAAAATCTGCTAAGAGACAGGCACTCTATCCATACTCCACTTTCTATTGGAGGAAACCTTAATTCCCTAAATTGGCCTTCAGATCTTGTTGAGTAAATGTAACGATTTTTACGATTCCTGTGGAGAATACCAGTTTCTTTCTCTTTAAGTTAATCCCCCTTCAGGAGTCCAGGCAGGTATTTTAACAGAAATGGAGAGCTGGTGAATTTCACATTTATTTTGGGGCTCACTTCTTAGCAGTCTTGTCTCTCAAACAGCGCTGGGCTGCGGCGGGCATGGCTGTGGCACTCTCTCCAGGTGCCCCGTGGGCCCCGAGCGCCCACAAGCACCTCGCCCCCCTCCCTGCTCCTCTGCAGACCGGGCCCAAGTCAGCTCCTTTAGCAGGTGTCCCACGAGCGGGGGCCTGTCCACCCACTGAGGGTGACTTGGGAGTTGCCAGAGTAGAGTAGACCTTTCTTACAGGCCGAACTCTGGAATCAAGGAGGGCAGGCAGGTGCGTGTCGTCAGCCCTGTGGGTTCGGATGTCCCTCACACATTTGCTTGTGTCACTGCACTGTTGCGGGTTATCAGCGCTTGGGAAGGATGCTCTCGCTTCCCGCAGTCAGGGTTAGCGGTTAGCTTGCGGGTTCCCGCAGGTGTTGGTTGTCCCACGCGCGGTCGCACGGCCGCTGGCCGTCGGTGCTGTTTGACAATGCCCGAGCCCTGTGACTGACACGGCCTTTTCTTGCAGACACGAGTTGGCGCTCCGAGGCGACCTTTCAGTTCACTGTCGAGCGCTTCAGCAGACTGAGTGAGTCGGTCCTTAGCCCTCCGTGTTTTGTGCGAAATCTGCCATGGAAGATTATGGTGATGCCACGCTTTTATCCAGACAGACCACACCAAAAAAGCGTAGGATTCTTTCTCCAGTGCAATGCTGAATCTGATTCCACGTAAGACAGTTTAAATGATGCGATTACAAACCCACAAATAGTTACGCTATGCGATTGAAGGCCCGATCTGATCGGCCTCTTTGAACTTAACGGTATTGAGTTTCCTTGCTGCCTCTACCTTTGATTTTACGTTCGATGAAATACATTCCCCTCCTTAAAACTCAACGGTAGGTGTTCTGTCCAAGTTAGAAAAGGTGTCTGTTTTTCTTGCAAAAGAGAAAGCGAGGTTCACGCGTTAGGATCTTCCAGCCCACGGAACCTGGAAGCGGGCCCCTGTGCACGGGCTCACTACTGAATTCCGGGCTTTGGTAGGTTATCAGTCCCTGCCCGAAGGGAAAACTGTAGTCCTGGAAAGTCCTCCGGTCCCGTGGCCTCCCCATCGTTGTGTTAACCAGTTCCTGTGTGTGGATTCAGAAAGATTGAATTAAAACACTTTTGGAGGGTATTACAACATGGGCCTCTTCAGCTTATTTTAGGAATATTGTTTTGTTCCTGTCATTTTTAAAAAGCAGTGTGTAATAAAATGTCTTCAAATTGAGAAAAGTCTTCATGGTCCCATTATTCAGATGAAACTAAAGATTAAGGCTTCACATTTTCTCCCCACTGATTCCTTCTCAAAAGGAGAAGGAATTAAAAACTGTCACTGTTCAGCATTTCTCAGAGGCTTAGTTGACATTGTTTGAAGGGGTCCCCGGATCACTAGGTCACCATGTCCTTCTCGTTCCCTATCGAGGATCCCATGAGAAGGCCGCATCCTTGGACCATGATTGTGTGGTCACCCCCAGACAGTGGCCCTTTGGAGCTCTCATGGAAGGCTGTTACCCAAAGGGCACTGGCCCTCCCTGTTCTGTCCAGGCCCCAGGGAATGCAGTCCGTTTCCTTGGGCTCTTGGCTGGGATGGGTAAGAAGTGCGAAGCCAGGTGTGTGCTGCAGCCTGTGTGTAGGTTAAATTTTTTTCCCCTGTGTTCCTATTATGATCTGGTTTCCGGTGAGTATTTGGGCTGCACATTAGTCTAACAGGCAGCTTCACGCTGACAGTCATTGGGGAAACAGCGAGCGAGCGGGCCGGGCCGTGTCCAGTGTGGCCGGCCCGAGCCAGCGTAGTGCCGGTACTGACACTGCGCTCAGGTCTCTAGCTCCAAGCCCTTAGTGGACCTTTCAAGGGCTGTAGCCTTTCGGTTTTTAGACATTGGTCCAGAGGCCCTTTTGTGATCTCTGCCCACCTTGACGGCAGCAGGGCTCTTGGGCTGTGCCAGGATTTGGTGGCTCTGCTTGGAGTCCCCCGGGAGCTGCTGGGGGGGGGGGGGGGGGGGGGCGCTCCTGGAGGGCACGACTCTCACCTTCTCTCGTTCTCTTGTGTCACTAATACCCGGAGTAGATCCTAAAACTACCATGTGACCAGAAAACCAGCCTCTCATAGAATCTGAAGACCAGTGTCTAAAATTCAGAAACTTTTCTGTTTTACTGGTAGCAATTATAAAAAAGAACCTGACCTAAAACTTCGTAAAGAAATTAAAATGAATAAAATCACGGGTCAGATCACTACAGGTGGCCTATGAGCACCCCCAGACTCTTAGCTGTGTTCCCCATTAGAGGTAAATGTGTCGCTCTCCCAGCTCCTCCCACCCCTCCCAAAAAATAAAAGAGGAAGAAGGAAAACTAATGTGGGAAGTTCTGTGTACTGCGTTACTGAAGTGAGCAGATGTCCGTTAAATCGGTCAACTGAGGCTTAGGTTTTCCTTGAACAGGTCGTGGTCCTGCCACGCGCAAGCCGTGCTGAAGATCATAAACTACAGAGACGACGAGAAGTCGTTCAGCCGCCGCATTAGTCACCTGTTTTTCCACAAGGAGAACGACTGGGGGTTTTCCAACTTCATGGCCTGGAGCGTAAGTAACCGACTGTTGACACGGAGTCATCTGAGCCTTACTCCTTCCCGAGTGCCTTCACTCCTCAGAGCCCTGTGTCTTGTAGCATCAAACGCGTGCTTCCTAAGTGGGGCAGGTGTCCGGAACTGTGTGTCCTCCGGTTTGTTGGCTGAGGTTTTTAAGCAGCCGACAGGGCAGTATTGGGGTGGGGGCACCCAAGTCGGGCATGGCTTCAGGGAACCTCCTCAGTACTTAGGCCCAGGTTTTTCGGCTGCTCTTGGGAGAGGTGGAACCCAGGAGCGCGCTGTCAGGAGTGTCCTGCTCGGCCCTCCAGCACTGGATCCCCGGAACCTCTCCGAGCCCTTGCTCTGGGGCCCGAGTGCTGGTGCCTCAGGCCATGCCCTGGATCAGCCCCCAGTGCCTCCCAGAGCTTCCTGGAGGGATCTAGCCCTTGCCAGTCTTGTTCAGAGGACATTAGTTAAAGCAGATCAAAATGCTGCAAAATCAGAAGCACCATGTGGGGGTTGGAAAAAGTAGTGTTTTCCTCTAATACGTAGAGGGCACTGGGGTAATTGTTTAGAACGAAGCGAGCATTTGTGTGTTCTTATGCAAGTTGGATATTCTTATTTTTTATAGGAAGTGACTGATCCTGAGAAAGGATTTATAGATGATGACAAAGTTACTTTTGAAGTCTTTGTACAGGCGGATGCTCCCCATGGAGTTGCGTAAGTTTTTCTTTACTTGGGTGCTCTTAAGAAACACCTTTTGTGCTGTGATGAGAGAAGCACTAGCATGTGAGCAGAGACACACATACTTAACAGATACGCACCCTCTCTGCGCTTGCCCACACAGTCGGGGGGTGTGCGGCTCTGCACGCCAGCCTCACGTTCACTCCTTTGCTTGGCCTGTTTTCTGGAGCGGTTTCTGTAGGCCGGACACTGCTGTGCATTAGGAAGGTGATGGTGGTCGGCAAGATAGCCGTGCATTTCTGTCCTCAAATATCCAGACTGGTGGGGCAGTTCATAAATCCTGCAGAGGAAATGCCCAGATTTTACTCTGAAGACGGCAGGGATGGGAAGGTCTGGGAGCGGCGAGTCTGAGTCAGGAAGCAGGGGCGGAATGGGTGGGTTGAAGATGGTGAGGAAGGTGGACCCCAGCATGGAGGACTGGCAGGAGATGGGTTGATTGCTCAGTGGTGGGAGGTCTGTGTGCACAAGGCAGTGTTCAGCCTTACAGGAGGCATGGAGGGGTGTGGGGCTACTTGGCAAGGAGGGGAAGAGGTTGGGGCAGGGAGAGCAGCAGGAGCCAGGAGACCAGCAGGGAAGGCTGGGGTGGGGCGGTGCATCCTGAAGGTGTGGAGGTTGAGCCGGAAGCTGGACTCTGGCTGTGGGGCCCTGCTGCCTTGTCCAGGCCCCAGGGTGAGGCGGCGAGTGCAGTCTGGGAAGACGCTGAGCGGCAGGCACCCGTTTCTTGCTCCCCTTATTTTATCTCCACGTGGCCCTGCTCTGGCAAGAGCGCTGGTGTGGGTTGACCCGGATGGCCGGAGCCGGGAACTGTGGGGCAGCCGAGGAGGAGCTGTTAACGAGTCCGGTCCCGGCTGCTGTGGCCTGGGGCGTGTGCAGGAAGAATCCAGCTTTTCCTGAGCCTTTTCAGAGCTCAGGTTAGATGCAGACATCAGGACTGGAAGTACAAACAAGAAGATTAAATTTCTGTGGGTTTTTACGCCACCCCCCCATTTTGAAAGTCTTCCCCTATGTTTATGATGATACTTTACTTGACTAAAAAAGTGGATTGGGGTTTTCCAGCCTTACCAATCACAGCAGATTTCTTGCTTTAGTTTGATCTGTTCAGCCATTATTGCTTAATTTTTACGATTGTAGTTTTTAAAATAACCATCTATAATTTAGGATTCTTGCATTTTCTTGCCAGTTTTTAAAATTCTCCATGGTTGCATTCATACACACGGACACTCACACCCACTCACACACACACACTTGAGCCAGGGCCCTTTGGGACACCTGAGTGTGGCAGCAAGGTCATAGGCTAATCCCTGGAATCACAGAGTACTATGGACCCCAGCCTCGGCCAACAGTAAACATCTCCTCTAGGGTTGGTCACGCTTGGTGGCAGTCATGTTTGTTCATGGCTTTGCGTTATATACAGAGGGTGCTGGGGAAGGGGGTGGCTTTAGCTGGCATTCTCTTCCTGTGACGATGGGGGCAGTGTGCAGCACGGACTGCTAACTCTGAGAAAATACACCTTTTCTCCTCAGTAACCACCACTGTAGACTAGGGAGAAAGAGAACTGGGAGTTGAGAAGCCCGAACTAGAATTTGCCCCAGCGTACATGCTTGTCTTTGCTTCTCTGTATAACTGCAAAGAGAGGGGTTCCGACTGTGCGTTTCTTGCTGACTCCACATGTGACCTAGTATGTATGCCGTGGACCCACACGGGCCAGTCGCATAGGATTCACGGTTGTGTGTGAGTGGTGTGTTGGACAAAGAAGGCAGGGCTGCCGTCAGCGGCCTTAAGCTGCTTCTCCAGTGCTGGGCTCGTGCACTTGGGCGAACAGAGCCCGTGACCGTACTAAGAACTCCTGGCCCCGGTGCCCTTGGTGCCTGGGGGCCTGGCGGTGAGTTTCTCCCTCGGAGGGGTGTGTTGGCCATTGTTCCCGTGTCAGGATGGTGGGCAGGAGGTGACGGTGTACAGCAGCGCGGGGGCTCGCCGGCGTCTCGCCGAATCGCTCCACACACACTGCAGAAGCGAGGAGGTGTCCTGTGCGGTTTTTCCCTCAACCTCCAACTGATCTTGTAGGTGGGATTCAAAGAAGCACACGGGCTATGTCGGTTTAAAGAATCAGGGAGCGACTTGTTACATGAACAGCCTGCTGCAGACTTTATTTTTCACAAATCAACTACGAAAGGTAAATGGATGGTATTTCTTCCCCTCAACCTTCCACCCACCCTGTTGCTCAAGTCCTAAGGGACAAGCAAAGTCCTGTCACCCGACTTTGCCGTGTCCCTCCCAGTACCACAGTGCTGTCTCCAGAGAGGGCCCTCTTTTATGCGAATGCGGATCTTTATTCCTCAGCGTGTGGACACTTGTGAAGCTAACTTGGGGGATAAAAGTTGGCTGGCTAACAGACCTAACTTCATGGGGGCTCTGTAGTCCCGTGATACAGTTTGTTGGTTTTTAACACGAAAGCCATTAGCGGCAACATTTGAAAGTTTTGTATCAAAACTGAATGGACAAAGCCACTGGCCGTGAAGTCGAATTTTCACTTACAGGTAAAACTTAGGGTCGTGAGAATACTAATAAAAACCACAGACATGCTTTGGCTCTACTGGAGGATAACTAGTCGGCTGTCCCTTTGCAATGCCGTGTGAACAGCACAGGGTGGTGCAGGCAACATGGGCCCCCGGTTGTGGGGGGCCGCTGGCTGGTCCGCTGGCTGTTCCTGCTCCAGCGGCACTGTCGGTCGCTGCCCCGATAGGACGGTGTCGCAGGGACAGGCGGATGTGGGTCATGGCAATGGCACTTAGGTCTTACCACAGCTTCTGTTCACAAGTAACGTTAAGCTAAAAAGTGTGGCTTTAAGAGGTAGGAAATAAAAGTGGTTCTCTTTGGATGGTGAGCCGTGGGTAATTTTTTAAATTCGTTTTGACTTTCTTGTGTTTTTTATACTGCCTCTGAAGACTTTCATGATTACTGTTTTTAAAACGTCCTGACCTGTTTGGGGGATAGTTAGAAGCCCTGTCCACTGCCTTAAGCCGTGGTGATATTAGAAATGATGCTTTCACATAAAATTCCATTTTTATTTCTTAATCAATCATTTTAGGCTGTGTACATGATGCCAACAGAGGGTGATGATTCCTCCAAAAGCGTCCCCTTAGCGTTACAAAGAGTGTTCTACGAATTACAGCACAGCGATAAGCCTGTAGGAACAAAAAAGCTAACAAAGTCCTTCGGGTATGTATCAGAAATCTGCCTTTCCTTCTTCCTTCTCCAAGGAAGAGTCATGAGTGCGTAGTAGGAGGATGGAGAGCAGGGTGTAGGCATTTAAGTACACCCAAGTATTTTTATCACCGTACTTTGTCCTTTTTGGACATAAAGGCTCTGTTTTAGAATTTTGCTTGAGACCTAATTTACCACATAATGATGTCCCCTCACACACAGAGGAGGACAAAACTGTGGTGTCCTGTTAGAATCCGGGCGTCTTTAAACCAGGGCCCCCCTAAATAACCTCCAGAAATGAATTTCAGAATAATGGCTGATTATGCAGTTTACTTTTTAAAGTCTGAGTTGCTTAATATGCACTTATTTGAAACACGGAGCATTAAATATAAATGTTCCTTCTCTCTTTCCAAGGTGGGAAACCTTAGATAGCTTCATGCAGCACGACGTTCAAGAGCTGTGTCGAGTGGTAAGTTCTGCGCCGAAATCGTACACTCCTTAACACTGACTGCAGCGGAGCAGCGTCAGACGTGGTGGCCCAGCTCAGACCTGCTCCATGCCACACGCGCCCGTCCTCGAGTGGGGCAGAACCAGGCCAGGAAGGAGAGGCAGCATCTGTCTCATTCACGAGCCAGAAAAAAATGAGCGCAATTGCCGTTGGAGAGGGCAGTGTGAGGGGAAAGTTGGATTTACAGAGCAGGAGGTAGTATGGTTTGATTTTGTTAAACTGGTACATCTGTCCCAGTTACTAACCCGAGAAACCGCAGACTGGCCTAAGGAGCTGTCCCGAACCCCTGCTTCGCTGTTAGAACAGGGACTTCCGTCGTTTCTCCAGAGTGTCCTGACTGCCCCTCGGCACAGAGGTTCTAACTGGGGCAGCCCTCTGTGCGGCTGATTCTCCCCAAAACCGTCTTTAGTCAATAGCAGATTCCTGTCCTTCCAGTTGTGGTCAGAGATGCACATGGACACACACACACACACACAACATGAAATGGTTATTCAAGGTGATTGGCTGGGCAAGGTGTGTTTTCTTTTTTGCAGCACTAGCTGGATTGAATCCAGTTCATTAAATATCCATGGACAAACCAGTCAATCCTGTTGACAGGCTCAACCTCATTAATCTCTTGGTGTGGACCAATACGAGTTAAGTTTAGTGCTCAATTTACATGCTTTTCCACAGAGGTAAAATAAATATAAAAATGCTTCTAAAGGCACTACAGATTACTAATTCATTCCAAAGGCTGTACTGAGGTTAATCTCAACTGTTGCATGTAGATATTTTTGTAAATATCCAACCAAGGAAGAAGACTTTGTATGTTTTCATAATTGCATGCTAAAGGTCTTAATATTTATAGTCTAGAGCTCCTTTGACCGTTGAAATTTCCTAGTCAAGTTTCAAATTATTGTAAATTGAGCATAACATTTTCCTAAAGTCACAACTTTCTCTTCCAGTTGCTTGATAATGTGGAGAATAAGATGAAAGGCACGTGTGTGGAAGGCACCATACCTAAATTATTCAGAGGCAAAATGGTGGTATGTGGTTACCAGCTTTCAATAATGATCTTAAGTGATTTAAGAATGAGAGTATTTTGACAATTAATATTTAAGCCATCTTGTTTTCCTTATTTGTAGTCCTACATCCAGTGTAAAGAAGTAGACTATCGATCTGATAGAAGAGAAGATTATTATGATATCCAGCTAAGTATAAAAGGAAAGAAAAATAGTAAGTCTTGTGTACATTTTGGCACGACCTTTTGCTCATTTCTGTTTTGCTTTAATGCTTCATTTACCCGAGTGGTTTTTCGTTGAAATACTGCTCAGAGAAGGTAGCCCGAGTGACGAGTGTGCAGCTCGCTGAGCGCACACGGGCTCGGTCCCCCACCTGGCTCAGGCCGCGCGGCGTGGCTGCCTCGATGCCGGTGCTTCCCCACCCCGACCTCCCCTTCTCAAAGGAAACTGCTGTTGGGGCTTTTAACGTCCCCTCCTAGGTTGCGTTTGCATACTTGAAATATTTCCAGAGAGGGGATCGTGTGGGTTACAGCCTCTGCTCTGCACTTCCTGCATCATATCCACAAGGAGCGATAGTGGGTTCGTTTTCACCGCTTGATGGCGGTCCGTGTGGGGGTGCATCATAGGCAATTCGAAACCATCCTCTCCTTGATGTGGGGGTCTTCAGCGTGGGGCTCTTGTGCCTAAGGCTCCTTGGCTGTTCTGTGCCCAGTTCCGGTGCACGTGTTTGCGTTGACGGTGAGCGGAATTGTTGGCTCCGTAGCGGAAGCCAGTTTCTCAGTTTCTCAGTTCTAGTCCCTCCAGGGCTGGTGAGAGCAGCCACTGCTCCCCAGCCACAGCGGAACTGTTGGCTCTCAGACCAAACGTTCTGATGGGAGTAGGGGCCCTCTCAGTTTTAGTACACATGTCGCTGAAGGTCATCGACATTGTCGCCTTTCCAAATGCTTACTGGCCATTTGGATATCTTCTTGAACATCAGGAACGTATTCAGTAGTGACTTAACGTCGTCACTGAGCAGTTCTGTCACTGGGATTTATGGGTCTGTGTGGATTTACTTGTCCTCCCGGGCTCTGTTTCCCAGCTTGTTTGCACGTCTGGTGGTTTGCGTCGCTGGTGTTGGAGATCCTTAACCTTTTGTTCTGGCGCGTGTCGAAGTGGCTTGACATAGTGTGGATCTTCGGAGGCTCATTCTGCGCTGTCAGGCAGGAGCCCAGCAGTGTTCAGTGAGGGCTGCTTGGGTGCACGGTTGAGGCCGCACCTTTCTGAGTCTAATGCCTGGAGCTCCACGTGTGTGCATCTCGTCGCTG